TGAGACCATGGACACATCGGCTACAATAACAGCAAACTGAACAATGCTCTCAAGGGCCTGTTGTTTAGCCCTGGCTTCCAGGACTGCTTTATGCATGGTACTTCCTCTGTGGAATCATTTTTTGTCAGGAGTTGGTGGTCTGAAAAGACATGTCCTTGGCACTGGAGCCATATCCTACAGTAAAAAGACATGCCAGGATTGATACAATGATCAATGATTGGCTCATTCTCATGCTATTTGTGTCCTGTTTGTGTTCCCAATAATTACTGCTGATATACCTGTAATTAACAGTAAAGATACTTCAAGATGTATGTTGTACTGAGTATAAATTTCAAATGCAGTCTGTAGCAACATTAGGATAATAATTAAACAATCAGCATAGTAAAATCACTATACTACATAAACTGGTTTTGATTTTAAATTATTTTTTATGAATAATTGGTCTGAATGCTCTGCATGCTTGGGGTTCAGTAAAATACTGTAAAAGACAAGTGTGCTCTGTTACACTTGTAACTGACATCCACCTGTGTAGTGTGTGAGGCAGGAAGTCCTGGCACACAGCTTCAAATGACTCTTCTCCTGACCGACAGGCTGGCACACTTGTTTTTCCTGGAACATCTGGAAGCATGAGAGTGTGGAGTCGCACTAAGCGGGTCTTTGCAGCTGGCTGCAGGCATAACACTCAAAGGTAAACAGGGAAAAACTGGGAAAAACAGGGAAAACCCCCTCGCATTATCCTCCGGAATAGATGTCTGTATATCCCAGTGTTGAGGGTGGAAATAGCCCCCTGTCAGGGAGCAGGTGCTTCCTCCAGCAAGTCTTCTTATTTATCCACATTTACAGACATGTTTGGGCAACCATGGACATGCTCAAGACCCAAAAACCTCTTAATGCCAGCAACAGCCAAAATGTGTTTAATGATCTGATGTGTCACACAGGCAGCGGGCCACTGAATGTGTTCTGAATCTTAAAAAATGGGATTCATAATTTCAAAGTAACTCCAACTGTTCTTTATTTGTCATCACTGTCTTCAATTTGATTATGATGCATTAAATATAACTATAGTTATTATTATCATATTCCTCATATATAGGCTAAACTACTAGAGCATTTAAGACTATACTGATTGAAGTTTAAGTTAAAATTGTATTTAGTTCACAAATGTTGTTCTTTGTGTTGTTTTCATATGGTTTTGAAAAATGTTTTCAACAAAATGTTACATTTTTCTTACACCTTGAATTTCCAAACTGAACCCTCCTTGTCTTGTCAAAGGTCAAATGATACAATATTTTAAGAGTATTATTAACCTTCAAATATGGTCATGAGAGTCTGCAGGGGTCTTTTTAATGATATAATTTCCTGTTTTGGTTTTCCTCCGGCGTCTTGGTTGCACTACATAATTTGACTGATTTGATGGACAAAAGTTAAAGTAAAATATTATTCGATTAATTTGATATTTTTTCTATGAAATAGCATCCTTTTAATTAGGCTTTTTTATTCTTCATTATGATATCAGGACTACGGAAGCATGTTTCCACCAATAAAATAAATAATAAATACATTAATAAATAAAGGTGATTGCAATTTTTTTTTTTTTTTGCAATTCTGAGAAAAAAAGGCCGAATTGTGAGATATAATCTCAGAATTGCAAGATATACCGTAAACTCAGAATTCTGAGAAAAAAATGCAAAATTGTGAGATATAAACTCAGAATTGCAAGAAAAAGTCAGAAATCTGAAACCTAAACTTGGAATTGCTGAACTAGGAATTTTTTATTATTATTATTTATTTATTTTTTATTTTTTTGTAATCCATGGTGGAAACAAGCTTCCATACAGGACAGTTATTTCACCCTTTACAAAAAAAAAAAAAAAAACTCATCATGGAAGTTAAAGTCAGTGTTCATGTACTGCACTTTATGATGTATTTTTGAATAAATGAATATAATAAGTGTCCTGTCTTTGACCCTTATAAGACTAAAAGCAATAAAGCAGTTTCTGTTGAAACATTTGAGTATAAAGCTTTCAAATTATTACAGTACTATTACAAATAAAGTTAAAAGTTAAAGCAATAACTTCACTTCTGTATGCCATCCATACTGGCATGCAAACATAATCATGCACTGTATGTTCTTCCTCTGGTCCGTCTTTACATGATGCTAAAATGCAAACGGTCTCATCGTGTCTCTCTCTCTCTCTCTCTCTCTCTCTCTCTCTCTCTCTGTAAGGAGATGGAAGGCCCTCTAGGATATGGTGAGAACTTGTGAGATTAGACAGCTGTGTTTTGTCAGCTGCTTGAGCCCCGCCTTCGAGTGTGGCACTCGGTCGATGGGAGTGACACCAATTATTTATGTCACGTTCCCTCTGGAAGCAGAGGATGGAAACTGGAGAGGACCATCCATCAGACTTGTCCAATGGGGCTGTATATACCTATGACTCCAGCACTGCAAAGGCAGGGAACGAAGTCTCTTAGGACAGTTTCAAATAACCAGCCACACACTTACCTGTCAGAAAGAGACAGTAATTAAAAGTCCCTGAATATACATACCATTTAGTTTACAAATATCTATATTAGACTATTGGATTGGACAGGTGACGCTATTTTGGGGGGCGTTAACTTGAGTAATTGGAGTCGTCGTGGGATCCTTGGGCTCTGCCCTTGTTCAGTGAACCAGCCGGCCTGTTAAAAACAGCAAAGTTGGGGAGCAAAAACAAAATGCAGGTTGTTTCAGATGTCTCACTGGCTGGGAATTGACTCTTAACTAGGTGTTTGATGGATGAGGTGGGTCAGGTTATTAATAGTTTGCTGATTTTCACCTTCAATATTTTCAGGAGGTATTTTTTATTGTGTCATGAATGTCATGGCATGATCTATTGAAGGTTCAGAGACAAAGTCAGCTCCCTTGAAACAATTTTCCACTTATTCAAAACTTCTGAAAGGCACAGTGACCAAAGCAACAGGGCTTTTGTAATGGGAGTGGACAGTTGATTTATCGAAGAGTAATAGATTGGCAGGTATCTGTCATAGAATATGCATTTTACTGGAAGAAAGGTGAAAATAGTTATACAAATAGAGAGATTATACTAACGAGAGAGTGATGAAGGTCTATTTCACCATCAGCTCAGGTCAAAAGTATTTACAGGGAGTCACAGGATTGGCTAATCGGGAGCACCGGGAGGATTCCCGGTGGGCCAGCCTGTTTTTTTTTTGGCCGCGGGGGCCGCGGTGTTGTCATGCCACTGGGGTTGAAATATGGATGCTGTCCACTGATCTATAATAGATATTATACATAGATCAGTGATGCTGTCCCTAGACTGCCTGCACTCATAGCAGCCCCACTCTTTTTATTTATAATTTTCTCGCAGCCCATGTTATTATTTTCACCAGACCATATCAATAACAAATTCTCAATTGATAATGAATCATTCTTTTTGTGCAAATCATTGTTTTATTTGTGAAGTAGCTGTTTGAGGAAGGCTTTAAGACCAAGTGGAATCCTCTGCCGGCTCCCGCTTCACAGCGAGCGGGTCTCGCGCTGACGGCAGTTCCCTTCACCGTCCGCGTTTTGATTCAGTTTGGGCGAATGCAAACAACTTATTGATCATGAGCCCAACATTCAATCTACCTGAGGGAAGACGTCTTTCATTGTAATGCAGTTAAATAGAGAGAGAGAAAAAAATACATTAAAACAAAATTAACTTCTAGTATTCTTGGCATCATATGACCCCTTTAACTTCTAGCGTATTCTTGGACCTCATTATTGAAGTACAAATACAAGCACCAGAAGCAGCCCACACTCTCTAAGTTTTCTTTAATTGAAAAATATGCATTTTCATTCATGGTTGCAATCACATTTTAGTTCAAAACTTTAAATGCCATTGTTTAAAATGCTTTATTGACAACACTATTTTCTTAAAGAATAAAAGATAAAGAATCACAATTGTCGCTTATTTTCCATTTCTGAAGTTAATTGGCAACACTAATGATGACGTAATAATCTTTTGACTCCCCTGACAGTGGCACCTTGCTCAGAAAAACAAACAAAAAAAAACCTCAGTTGTTGGAGATATGCGAGCAAAAAATAATAGATGAAAAATGGATAATAGAAAGCGCGAAGGCGGCACTGAAAAGGCCAGTAAAAAAAATAAGTGGGCCAGTCTAAGGGCTGAAAATGAGTCCCACTCCGGCCCTGGGGAGTCATTATTATTGCTAATGCTTGCTAGTGACAGACCTAAATAGCAATGACTCCATAATTAAATTATGCAACATCGCTCTGGAAGGATTCTATATGTAGACATGTACAGTATATCCTAGAGATTTGGGCCTTCTTTTAAAAATGGAAAATGTTATTTTTTTTAGAACTTGTCGTTTTAAAGGTAAATAAAAACAAATAATTACACAACAAACATTAATTTTAGTCAGATCACTGGGATTAATTTGCTCTCTAGACAGACAGTAGCATACAAAACAAAAGGCCAACACAAATGGACAATTTTTTAAAACCTGATTGATGCATTTGAGCAGACTAGTCATATTTAAAAAGGGATCTCTCATGAAAAGCACTAGGAATTTTTCAGGCTTTTTCAATAATTTCTCAAGCCAACAACAATAACAAGAAAAGTAAATAAAAAATAAAATAAAATGAAATAAAATAACCATTTAAGCTTAAATATATTTATTTCAGGCAGGAAATTAGTACATTTAAGTAACAAGGAATTTATTATATTTAAGTTAACCATTAACCATTTGGCCAGCAGAAAAGTAACTGCAATGAAGGAACCACATTTGCATCTGCATCGCTTCACATTAGAGTTTTGTGTGATCAAAACATAGACATTACAGTCCATTAGATGTGCAGTTCTTTATGTGGCAAAACATCTAAGGCATGGCTTAATGTGTGCACCTCAATCCTTATAATATACAATATGCTGTATATTGGTGATTTCTGGTGATGTCAATTCTGTACATCTGCATTCAATGCACCTACACAATGCACCAAGTCATATGGAATGGACATCTCTTATGTGTTTTAGCAGTGATAAAAAAAAATTATTTTATGTTTTTTTTAAAGGTATGCTCTCCCACAAGCAACCTACAAGTAAATTAGATTATTAATTCATATTGCTACAATGAAACAAACATTCAGATTGAAATATGTTCAATACACATTCATTCTCATGCACTCGTACACACAGTTTATGCCCCCTGATTTCCATTGCATGTCACTATGATGTGTGATTTTACACTGTATTTCAATAAAGGAACATTTGTATAGCAGCACATACATATACAGTATGATACAGTAACTATGATACATTATTAAGCCTTTGTCAAAAGTCCCTCGCATGGCTAAGGCTTACAACTGATTGAATTATATAAATAACTGCAATTAAATATGTTGTTTTGACATAAATTTACTAAAATTCTAAACAAATTTCCTTCCATTAAGTTAGAAGAGCTTCAAGTTTTAACAATTCCCTTTTTACAGTACCTGAGCAGTAATGCTGTGCTTTTGCATATATATAATCTGCATATATAATGGAATCATAATAAATTAATAATAAGTAATATGTTACTCTTTGGTAAATAAAATAAGGAATCCAAAGGGCTCTTAAAAACTCAATTTAGGTGTATAGGATCATTATTATAAGGTCTAAGTATAATAGAGAAATAACCCCTCTGGAACCATTTTCACATGCTAAAGAGCATCTTTGGTTCTTGTCTTTGATGTCGAGGAAGGATTCTACTTGTCTTTCAGATGATTTAAACCTTTCTGATTTTTTGCCTGTTCCTCATGAACTTCATCAAAGGAACCTGACTGAGATTCCAGGGATGACTTTGTTATCTGCTTTTGCAAGGAATTGTCAGATGATTCCCATTCATGAACCTCTGAATCATCATTAGTCTCATTTGTCTGGTCCTCCTCATCTTCTGATGTATCCTCTGTAATATCTGAGAGTTTGCCCTTCTCCTTTCTGTTCTCTTCAACCTCGTCTTTCTCCACACAGGAACTCTCTTCTGCAACATCACTCCCATCCTCTGGAGTCTCTTCGTCTTCAACTTCATGTTCATTATCCTCTTCCCTGCTCTTTGATTGTCCAGCGGCTGAGAGTTTGACGAAATTCAGAGTGTGAACGAGCATTTTGAAGGTTTTATGTGCAGTTTTCCTCTGTGGCTTGATCTCTGACTCAGAACTCAAATCAATGACTTGGTTGTGTTCTTCTGTTTCTGAGTCTTCTCCGTCAGCATCGGCACCATCTTCAGACTCCGAGTTGTGCTTTACCAAAACATTAAATGAAGTCGCCCCATCTGGTTTGTCATCTTTTGGTTTTGGCTGTAACAGAGGGTGTAAACCTAGCCTGTTCCTATTATGCTCCCCTTCATTTGTCTCCGTGTCTGGCTCTGTGTCATCCTCAGCTTCATCGCCAGCTTCAGCTGATTCACCAGTGTTGGCCACATAACCAGCTTTATTTGCCATTATCTCCACCTCATCATCTTCTTTTCCACTTTCTTCACCTTTATCATCAACACTATCTAGAACAATGTCATCCTTGTTCTTAAGGGGTGTTTCATCTCCAATTACCTCAAGATTAGTTAAAACATCATGACTCTCAGTGTCCTCAATGTTAGAAAGAACACCTTCCTCCTTTGCTGCTTCACAACTGACAGTTTCCTTGTCTTCCTCATCGTTTGATTGACTCCTGTCTGTCTCTTCTCCAGTCGTCTCATGATCAGGAGTTTGCTCTGTCAGCTCTACTACAGCATTTTTGTCTTCTGCCATGTTGCCATCTTCAACAGCAGCTTTCTCTTCAGATATCTCAGTTTCAGCTTCGGTGGTCGCCTCATTTGCTGTTTCTGCTTCAGAAGTTCCTTTTTCATCAGCTGACACAACTCCTGCAGTTCCTACATCATCTGTGTTGTCTTCATCTTCATAGGCTCTCTTTACATCAGTTCCTCTTTCTTCAACCAATGTCCCCTCCGCAGTATCTCTCTCTTCTTCCGTTTCATCTACAGCTGTCTCACTCTCTTCATCACTTTCAGTTTCAGCAGTTTGCTCATCATCTACAGCTTCATTATCAGCCGTATGTTCCTCACCTGCATCAGCTTCAGCATTTTGCTCATCTTCTGCTGGTTCATCACTATCTGTCTCACCCTCTCTTGCAGCTTCAACTTCAGCAGTTTGGCCATTTTCTGCCATTTCATCTTCAGCTGTCTCACTCTCTTTTGCATTGTCCTCATCACCTGTATCACTCGCTCTTGCAGTTTCAGCATCCCTATCTTCTACAGATTCATTCTCAGCCATCACATGCCCTTCTACAGTGTTGCCATCAGCTGTCTCACCCTTTTCTTCAGTTTCATCCTCACCAATATTGCTCTCTTCCACAGTTTCAGTTTCAGCAGTCTCTCCTTCTACAGATTTGCTTTCAGCTAATGCCTCACTCTCCCCTGCAGTTTCATCTTCACTTATTTCATCTTCTCCAACAGTTTCTGCTTCAGCAGTTCGTCCATCTTCTGAAGTTTGATCTTTAGCTGTCTCACCTTCTTCTGCAGTTTTATCTTCATCAGTTTTTCCATCTTCTGTAGTTTCACTTTCAGCTGTCTCATGCTCTTCGGTAGTGTCGTTGTTTATTGTCTCACCTTCTTCTCCAGTTTCATCTTCAGCAGTTTGTCTTTCTTCTACAGTTTCATTTTCAGCCATCTCATGCTCTTCTGCAGTGTCATCATTAACTGTCTCACCTTCTTCGCCAGTTTCATCTTCAGCTGTTTGTCCCTCTTCAGCAGTTTCACTTTCAGCCATCTCATGCTCTTCTGTAGTGTCATCATTAACTGTCTCACCTTCTTCGCCAGTTTCATCTTCAGCTGTTTGTCCCTCTTCAGCAGTTTCACTTTCAGCCATCTCATGCTCTTCTGTAGTGTCATCATTAACTGTCTCACCTTCTTCGCCAGTTTCATCTTCAGCTGTTTGTCCCTCTTCAGCAGTTTCACTTTCAGCCATCTCATGCTCTTCTGTAGTGTCATCATTAACTGTCTCACCTTCTTCGCCAGTTTCATCTTCAGCTGTTTGTCCCTCTTCTGCAGTTTCACTTTCAGCCGTCTCATGCTCTTCTGCAGTGTCGCCATTACCTGTCTCGCCTTCTTCTCCAGTTTCACCTTCAGAAGTTTGTCCATTTTCTGCAGTGGTTTCTTCATCTGAAATTTGTCCATCTTCTGAAGCTTTATCTTCAGTTGTTTCACCCGCTTCTGCAGACTCATCTTCTGCTGTCTCACCATCTCTTGAAGTTTTAGCTTCAGCAATTTGTCCAGCTTCTGCTTTTTCACCCTCAACTGTCTCACCTTCTTCTGCAGTGTCACAACCAGCTATGTCATCCTCTCCAACAGCTACTGCTTCAGCAGTCTGCCCATCCTCTGAAGTCTCTTCGCCAGTGGTCTCACCCTCTTTAACAGATTCTGTTTTTGCAGTTTGCCCTTCTTCTGCAGTTTCATCATCAGCCGTCTTGTCCTGCTGTTCTGATTCTTCCTCAGTGTGTTCTTCGGTTGCTTCCTCCTTTGCTGCTTCAGTTTGCATTATGTCATCAAATTCACTAATGTCATCATTTGCCACGTCTTCATCTAATTCATTAATCTTAGAACTGCTTGCACTTTCTTTGACAGCCATTAAATCAGAATCAGTCTCAATATTCTCTTCTTGCTCTTCATCTTGTTGCATCATCATTGTGTTAACAGACATCTCAGCAATTTCCCCAACTTCATTCACATCTTTCTTTAAATGTCTGGGTATATTTGATTGTTTCTCGGAACTATCTTCTACATAAGTGTTGGAGGCACTGTCATACTCTTCACCCTCCTCACTTTCTCATTTTTCATCTTCAATTTCTTGAGCACTGGAAGCAAGTATTTCTTTATCTGCCCCCTCTTTCTCATCCTCCTCTTTGACAGCCTTAAGCCCTGCATTTTCTACTTCCATCTCACTTGCTTCTTCATTGGCAGTTTCTTCGATCTTTTCATTGGTTGGAGACGATTTCTTCATCTGGAGAATTCTCCTTAAATCAAAGTCTTTCATCACAGGGGCTGAATTAAACATTTCCACAAGTAACACATGCTTGGATACCATTTTCTTTTTCAAGCATGTGTCACAAGGACAATATTCATCATCGCTACGTTGATTGCTGAAGTCGGTCCCTGTCATTGTGTAATCATCGTCACTTTTAACAGGTTGTGGATCAATTGATTGGTTGCGCATCACTTTCAGACGTCTCCGCCTTTGCACTGTTTGAATGGTAGATTCAGGTGACATTGTGTCTTTTGGTGGTCTTGGTCTTCCAGCTCTGCCTTGGATTTTCCTTAGCTCCCTGTCTATACTTGATTGTATCCGTCTGCGGACTTCATCTTGCAATTCGCATATCATGGCATCAAGTTGCTCGTTGTCATCCAGATTCCAACGGACTTTGAACTCAGCCATTGCATTAATATAATGTGTCATAAATTGCTTTTCTAATTTGTTCAATAAATTCAGAACCCATACAGGATCAGGGTCTTGAGAAAGCCTTTTTGATAATTTACCTTTTTGTTGTTTTGGAGCGCTGCCTGAACTTGTGTCCTCTTGACGGTCTGATTCAGTTTCCTCTTTTTTGGGATTATTCCCAGAACTCTTGTTTGATGAAAAAGGTGTTTCAATGAGTTCCCTTGGACTATCATTACTCCTGATTGTCTCTTCAGAGCCTGGGACATCATCTTTTAGCTTCACTTCAATTGTGCCCTTTGTCTCTGGGGTCCACTGAGCTTGACTTGCTATATCTGGAGTGGCTGAATCGTATTTTGTTTCTGAAGCTTCCCCTTCCACTGTTTCATCAACTTCTAGTACCTTTGTCAGGGTATCCAAGCCTTCACATTCTGTGTTGATTTGGGCTTGGATGCCATCATTGATGCTACTTTTCCCTGAACCGGTTGAGCCACTGTTAACATCTACCCCTGAGGATGACCTGGCTTTGAATTCCTCATCCAGACGCTTGTTTCTTTCCACAGATGTCTTCTCATTGTCTTTTGGGTCACAAAGCCAAAGGGACCTAAGCATGCTCGTGAGCTCCTGGTATTTTTCTTTTTTACCATCTTCATCACTAGGACCAAAGTCTAACAACTGAAGATTTGCCAAACAATCCAGAAGACCTTGCACTGATGCACTGAGCTTACGTCCATATACAGGAGATACCTCTGGTAGGCTATTGCATCGGTCGAGTTTGGGGCTCAGCAAGACTTTCATCACCAGAACTGAGGAACTAAACATCTTTGGTTCATCTCCTCTCTGAGAGCGATCACCCTCAGCAACTTCAGGAGATTTTTTGTCCGTAGCACCCTCTGTACTCACCATATGAGCACCTTCCATCTCATTTTGTGTTTCAAGCTTGGTAACATCACTTGGCTGCAAACTTCCATGCTCATTATCAACTCCTGAAGGCACATGAGATGTGCAAAGCGGCTCTATTGAAACATAATTGTCATGGAATTCGTCCCCCAAATCACACAAGGTGGTGTCTGATGGGATTTTCCTCAGCCATTCATTTACCACCTCAGTTGGAGAAGCATTTGGCAAGCAAGAAGGACTTGGCTCAGACATGTCATCATCCATCTTGTGGCAAGAAGAGTCACTTCCAATTATTTTTCTACATTTGCTACTTTTTTCACTCTTAATTTCACTGACATTTGTATCAGATCTACAAGACTGAGGTCTTTCTGCTGCAGCATTCAAATGGTCAGTATATTCTTCTCTTGGTTCTGGAGCAGGAACTGTCTGCGATAACACACTATCATTAGAGCTGCCAAGTAGAATAACAGGTTTTTTGGATTTTTTAGGAGATTTTGGTGGGCTAGGACTTAGATGGTTTCCTGAGGTAACAGATAACCTGGTTGCATTGTCCTCAACTTTCTGTGTTGACATGGTGTTTGATTTATTGCTTCTTTCATTGACAACTGTAGTTTCAAATTCTTTTGACCATTTACTTTCAAATGAGAGAATGGATTGGATATTTTACTCTTTGGTCTGTCAGTCATTTCTGCAGTATTTCCTTCTTTAGTTTTGGATTTCTCAGAGTGTGAGATTGCTGAGGCACTTGAAGCAGGTGACATTTTTCCTTTTTGTTGTGTAGAACTGCATTTTGAACAGACACTTTGAGATTTATGGGTAACATCTGGACTTTCAGCTTTCTCTTGACCTGTGATTTCAGTGTGTACAGACATACCGGAAGCTTTGCTAGATGGACGAATCTTCTGGGTTTGAGAGCTCCGTTTCACTGAACTGTTGGCAGATGGTTGGCTATCGGATGAAATTATTGAATACTTTATTTCGGAGGATTTATTGCTTGCTACATCATCTCTGTCCTGGATTGTGTCTGTAGGACATGCAGAGCCACAATGAGAGCTTTTGGACCTCAATTTACGAGAGACAATTGAATTAGCTGATGTAGAACTTTTAGGTCTTCCCTCTGGTGTCGGTGTTGCTTCATTTGTGATTTGTACGGGAGATTCTGATGAACCCTGGTCAGATTTACCACATATTTCAGTCTTTGATGAAGCAGATATTCTTGAGTTAATTGAAACATCATCAGCCTCATGGTCTTCAACAACCCCAATAGAAACTGAGGTGCTTGTTGGTGTTAAAACTCTTTCAGAGGCGGAACCAACTGAACTGATTTTGGACTTTGCTGACTTTTTAGACAGAGGACTTGCAGGTACCTCTTCATGGTCGGAGTCTTTTTCAGATGATGCCACTGGACTTGATGGCTTGTTTATTGCACCACAAATGCATTCATTTGAGTTCTCTGCTTGAGATACTTCTGAGTGATTGGACAATGGACTCTCATCTCTGTTTAATTCCCTATCTTCTGTGTTTGTGGGTGTATGGTCCTCACCCTCAGAAATTTTAGGCTTCTTGGATCTTGTAGATACATTGGATTTAACTGACAATTTGCTTGGTGAACGGTTTGCTTTTGTGTACACACCAGCTTCAGACATTTTAGAATCTGCAGATGCATTAGAAACCACACTTGTGGATCTGTTTTTCCAATTTCTTTAGGAGCAACTACTGAAATATTTGACCTTTTAGATCTTGCAGATGTTTTAGATGTAACTGACGCTGTACTTGATGCGCTCTGCTCTACATTGCTGATTATCTCAGAATCTTCTGACTTCTTTGATCTTACAGAAATTGAGGACAAACCACTTTCTGTTCTTGCTTCTTTTTCTTTGTTGACAGGGTCACCTGGACCAGATCTTCCAGAGGCATCAGATTTCAATGACCTAGAACTTGGTGCACTCTCCACGTTTTGTTTATCTGGTTCATCTATGATTATTTCAGAAACTGTTGATGTCCTGGATCTTACAGAGGAATGTGATTTTGCAGACACAGCACGTTTTGTTTATCTGGTTCATCTATGATTATTTCAGAAACTTTTGATGTCCTGGATCTTACAGAGGAATGTGATTTTGCAGACACAGCACTTGGAGCCCTTTCTTGGATTTCATCATCATTTGTGATTTCATTTTCATCAGGTGTGGCATCAGATATTATTGAAATTGCACTTGGAGGTCTCTCTATGTTCTGAACCCCTTCTTCAGCACTAAAGTCTGAATGATTTGACTTATTGGACCTTACTGAAATACTGGATTTAGTAATACTCGGTGCTTTTACTTCACTTTCTTCATCATCAGTCTCTTCTGGCGGTACTTCTGAAACTTGTGATGCTTTGGATTTTGCAGAAATACTGGTTTTGGTAGAAATAGCAGATCTTCCTGACATAGCACTTGGTATTCTGTCTCCTTTTTCTTTGTCATCAGCGTTGACGTCTGTTGCAGAAACATTTGAGTTTTTTGACTTTGCAGAAATGCTTGATTTTGCAGACAAAGCAGTTGAAGCTCTCTCTTCTTTTTGGTCTTTCACATCAACTTGCATATCAGTTAAAACATCTGAAATTTTAGACTTATTGGATCTTGTTGAAATGCTTGATCTAGCTGACAATGCACTCTGAGCTCGCTCCTCTGTTTGGTGTTTTGCTGCTTGAGGCAAAGCAGTTGGCACTTTTAAATTACTGGACTTTTTTAATCTTTCAGAAGCATTGAATTTAGAAGACATGGCACTCAGCGCCCGTTCCTCTGCAACTTCAACTCCATCACTTAACGTCACTCCTGACTGATTGGATTGTGCTGCCAATGCACTCTGAGCCCGTTCTTCTGTTTGGTCCAGTGCTTCTTCTGTGACCAATTCTGAGATCACTGATTTCACAGATTTTGCAGATACATTAGATTTAGAGGACATTGCACTTACAGATCGCAAATCATCTCTATCTTCAGCTACAATATCATCAGCCATATCAGATACTTTGGATTTCTTGGAGTTAGTGGATTTTGTTGACAATGCACTTGTTGCTCTTTTCTCTTTGTCTGGTGATTTCTCTGTGCTTTTGCAGGTTTTTTTAGGTGCTGTGCTGATTTCATTTGATGTTTCAGAGGTATGTGATGCTGCATATACTGCGGATGATCGATTATCATGTGCCACCTCTGACATTTTGGACCCTTTAGATCTTACAGAAACATTAGATTTTTTTGATAATGTGTAAACTTCAGATTTAACAGACAAAGTACTGGAGGCTCTGTTTTCTATTTCCTCCTCCTCCATCTTGGACTTATTTGATTTTAATGAAGCATTTGATTTGATTGACGTAACACTAGGAGCTCGTTCCTTTGTTTCTTCTCCTAATTTTGGTGTTGTTTCAGATTTCTTTGATCTTGCAGATGTGGTAGAATTCACGGAAATAGCACTTGATGCTCTTTCCTGAACATCTTCTTTTTACTTAGAAGATACTGCTTCTGAAATGTCAGACTTTGATTTATGTGAGACATTTGATTTAATAGAAATGCTGCTGGGGGCCCTGTCTTGATCTTCAAGCTCGCTCAGCTCAATTGACATTTTAGATCTTGCAGAAATATTTGATTTTATCGAAATGGAGCTGGGAGCCCTCTCCAGTGTTTGATCATCATTTGTCACCTCTTGGATTCCAGACTTGTTTGATGTTCCAGATTTAACACTTGAAGCTTTCTCTTCTATTCTCTCCTCTGATGTCCCATCAGGTACAGACTGTGGCTCTTTAGACCGACTAGATGTAGTGGAAATATTTGATTTAGATGACACAGCACTTACAGCCCTCTCCTCAACATTGTCTTGTAATTTGGGAAGCTCATCAAAGCCATTATCTGATGCTCTTGACCTCACAGATGTATTTGATTTAACAGACATGGCACTTGATGTTCTTACTTCAGAGATTTGTTCCTCAGACACATTGTCTGAGAATTCGGTTTGTCTTGATTTGTCAGATTTCTGAGACTTTATTGACATGGCACTGGGTGCTCTTCCATCCTTTTCAAGTACCTCTGAAACATTTGTTTTATTTGATTTTCCAGAGGTGATGGATTTTATGGAGATAGCACTCGAGGATCGCTCCTCTATAATTTCTCCGTTTGCTCCAATACACTCAGCACCATTTTCATTCTCATAAGAGGTTGATAACTCAGACAATGACTTTGTAGACGTTTTTGAATTGGCTGACATTGAACTTAGTGCCCTTTCTTCTTTTTCTTCATCTTGCACATAAGTTTTGGCCTAATTACGGCAGAACCTGCTTTGATACAAGCTGTAGCTATGTTTGACTATTTAGTCTTTACACATAACTGAAAATATATTCTCTAAAACCAAGTTTTATGTTACAAAATTTTGCTTCAAGTAAATTTATGTTGTTTTAAAGATGTTTAGATATTTTTACTGTAAAGAAAGACAAAAATTGATGATTAATGATAAAGAAAATGACTTTTTGGAATGTGACCTACCATTTTTCTTGGCCCACTTTTCATCGCTGCAGACACTAGAGCGTGGCTTTGTGTTCAGCCTTGGAAGTTTGTCGTAAGAGTTCTTCCTGAAGCTGTCCAACAGGAGTGGGTGGAAAGGCTCACGTCCCACAAAAACCAAAATGCTCGGGCACTGGAGCAGACTGTGCACACTGTCAATCTGAAAAACATGCAAATAGCTCTATCTGCGTTAGACTGTGCTGCTGGTTGATTACAATATGACAGAATCAAATTGATTAAGATTAGCAATATCTGGCTGAAATTAAATCAGCAGGGATTATTGTAACTATAAAAAAAATAAATTCTGATGAGGAAATGTGCTATGAGGGCTTGAAGCCATACCAACTAAAGGTTAATGGCCGTGGGAAGTCATCTGGTGTGTACATTGTCCCACACAAATTTTTAATCATGAAAACAGTGATCTGAAAATGTGCGCGATCCATTATGCAGGGTGTTTTCGGTGCATGAGTCAGTACCCATGGGCCAGTATAAACAAGAAGTGTACAAACAAATAGGTCATAGGTCAGTCCAGAAGTCTTCATCCCTATTTTTAAAAAAAACTATTGTGACTATATCAATATAAAATAAAAAAAATAAAAAATCAACATCAACTAGCAAATCAAGTATCAGAGTTCATCTGAGGTCAGTTCATTAGTTAAACTCAGCATTACCTTATGCTAGAAATATTGGGGGTATTAATAAAGAAAGAACTAATCTTCTTAACACTTTAAGGCTTTTTGGAAAAGAAAAAAAAGCTAAGACACATGAATAATATGTCCAAAAAAGCATTTTTAATTGTAATAATCCAACAACATCTGATGTTGAACCAGGTTCCAAAAATCATGAAAGCAGAATATACTGTATATAGAGAGAGTAAAAGTACACACATTCACAGCACATATCACTGTTTAACACAATACTAACCGTATGCTAAATCTGCATGCTCTGCAGTTTTATATCTTCTAAACTTTTCAATTTTCCAGTGGGTTTGAAGATAATTAATTGGAACTATAGAGGATGCGAGTATCTCAAACTGTATGTTTTCATGGCATTGACCTGCTTCTGCTGGTTCAAAATAGCTCTGATTTGAGCAAGATTAATAGTTCTTCTCTGGATGCTGGTGCATCACTGCTGTGCAACAATACCAGTAAAGGAATATCCTGATCATATCTAACAAGAACAGCAAGAAAGATTTACTCAAAGATGTTTAAAAAGAGTGCATTAAAAATTAGAAAGCTACAAAAATTTTAAAACTCAATAAGTAACACTGTAATTCTGTTATAACAAATAATCTTAAAAACAGCCTGTATGCAGAATGAAAATGTGTATATTCTTAACCACTTGATTAAGATGGTTGTTCAGATTTGATGCTAACTGTATTTGTGGCATAAATAAATATCATTCTTTTTGTAAGAATATTACTGCCTATTTAAATATATAAATATATGTATTTTAAATATATTTGTGCGTGTGCGTGCGTGCGTGTGTGTGTGCGTGTGTATCTTGTTTATATGGTTTTAACATGTCATCAATCTGACATATATTTGGACCTTACTATGCTAATAAATTACCAACAATATTTTACAAAATAAATGTTTTTTTATAATGCCATTTATTAAAAACGAAATAAATAAATATAAATAAAAATATTTATAAAAACTGCATATGTATTATTTTTTACAAGTCATGGCTCATTCATTTATAATCAAATCTAATTGGCAAATGGTTCACGGTTCGGTATTCAGGGGGGAATCAGTCACTGACCAATTCAATTTTTTTTTTTTTTTTTTTGATGGACACAA